ATAACAATTAATCCATCTTTTGTTTTAGTTTTAGTCTTAAAAAGTGAAGTGTTTAAAAAGTGACAACAAGATCGCGAATTCGAAAGTGAAAGCATCCGAAGCCCGGCTTATAACATAGCAAAAGAGGAACTCCCGTACACAAAATTCAAATCACAAATAATACTACTGATGAAAAAGAATGGGTTGAATGTTTATCACTTTCGTTTCCATATAACTATAAACTATGATAAAAGTTAACCAGCGTGCATTGATTAATGCGCAAAATAAATAAATAAAAAATATTGCAACCAAATCATGTGCTTGTGCGACCATCTGAGAAAGTTAGTTGCAAAAGAGTGACCAGTGGCAAGAATGAGTCTGGAGCCCTGGTGAGGCAAAGATATACACGGAGTTTCGCGCTCAAGTTCACAGAGACCGAGACGGTAGAAAGCGCATCCTGTTTGCGTTCATTATTTTACAAAAGCGTGTTTTGTTGTTATTGTGAGTGCACACAAATAAACGTAGAGTCTTTACAGATTCAAAAGATTGTATTACTCTCTTATCTGTATGACCAAAAATGACGAGTATTTTAGGAGTAAGTGAGCGCACCGGCACCTCCATCTGTCCTGCAGTGAGCTACTGTGCAGTGAGCTACTGGATGCAACATTTCCGTCACACGCTTGAGGTATTCGGCCAATCACAACGCACTGGATAGCTGGCCAATCAGAGCACACCTCGCTTTTCAGAACGATGAGCTTGGCAAAAATTGACGCATTTCAGAAAGGTGGGGCATAGAGGAAAAACAATCATGTACAGTATGTGGAAAATAATGTTTTTTTTTTTTTTTTACCTTAAACCACATCAACACGTTTCATTACACCAAATACTCAAAATAATGTTCTTTTTTTAGCAAAGTCATATGACCCCTTTAATGAGTTAGTCATTGAGTCATTCATTCAAATTATTTGTTCAAATGACTGATCCGTTTGGTCATTGAATCAATCATTTAACTTTATTCAAAAAGCACTGCTACAATATGTGTTTGTTGCACAGAGATGCATAACAGTTTTGCTGTGGTTTCATTTGGAAATTTTATTTGACAAAATAGAACACAAAATATTGACAATACTTATTGAATTGTTATTTAGCTGTTTTATAAAATCAGTGTGACATTCGTAATTGACCTATCGGTAAGCCCCTTCCCTCGAAAGCAGATGAGCCAATGGCAGTCGAGTATCAGTTGCACGTGGAGCGGAACTCGGACATCTGTAGGTTTCAGCGCCATTGAGAAACATTGGAAGATCCGAAGCTCGCATCGTTTTTTTGGGGTTTATGCTTCAAAAATGGAAATACGATGTGCCTGGGGTCCTTGTAACACTGATTCCAGATATCCTGAGAGGATGGGCAATGAAATGTATTTTATTCTATATCCTAAATCCAAACAAAACAGAGCAAATTGTCCCCAAGCATTTACCCCCATTCCCAATGAAGACAAAAATGTTAATTTTCTGGTTGTCATACTCTCATTAAGTTACAATTTTCATCTGCTCAAGCAGAACGTTAATGTCATCTTGTGCTTCAGCAATGTATCTCTGGCTAAAATTAGCTATCGTTAAAGTTAGTGAGTCTATGCTAGTGTACAAACCTTAAGTAGCGAACTGTTCTTGCGTCTTGTACAGTGTAGGGCAAAAACACATAAACGAAGGTCTACATTTCACTGTCTCATCATATTAAACTGGATAAATGTAAATTAATATAATCTTACCCTGCGGTACATGAACAGTGTTGATCCAGGATTTTTCATCCACGATAGTGATGACCATAACATGAGACGACTTCTGCTTGCATTGTGATCTGTAAACCTTTGCTTCCAAATTAATACCCACAATATTTCTTTTGTATATCCCTCCATGGCATATTTAAGTCCCACTTGAATGGTGGTCCTTCTGTGTCCAAAATTTGTAAAACCGCTGTCATTGTAATACAGTTAGCAAAACTTGTCAGAGTTCGCAACAGTAACTAAGGGGGGTGGGGCTTACCGATAGGTCAATTTTGCTTATTCGGGAAAACGGCTTCTGATATTGCTTAAAAGGATAACTTACCCAAAAATTACAATTCTGTCATTACTCACCCTCATGTCGTTCCAAACCCGTAAGACCTTTATTCATCTTCTGAACACAAATTAAGATTTATTTATAAAATCCGAGAGCATTCTGAGCCTGCATAGACCGCAGCAGAACTACCACATTCAAGGCCTTGAAAGTTAGTAAGGACATCATAAAATTAAGAACAACTGATGTCACATGGACTATTTTAACAATGTCCTTACTATCTTTCTGGGCCTTGAACATGGTAGTTGCGTTGCTGTCTATGCAGGGTCAGAAAGCTCTCGGATTTCATTGAAAATATCTTAATTTGTGTTCAGAAGATGAACAAAGGTCTTACAGGTTTGGAACGATGTGAGGGTGAGTAATTAATGATAGAATTTTCATTTTTGGGTGAACTATTCCTTTAACTTTATCATTTGATATAAATATAAGACAAAACTCATGAGGTAAATGGCCTTGTATGTCTTGCTTTTTGAGGACTTGAACGGCATTAAAATAAGCTGCATTAAGCAGTGAGAGCATGCATTCTCAAGGCATGGTTTTGTTTGGCTGTCATACTCGATGTTAGAACAAGCATTGTTAAAACAATTATGAAATTATGGTGGATGACGCATCACACACTCCTAAGTAACTGCGACATACACAAAATAGTATGATTTATATATCATCATTCCAACCAGCCCTGGCAGAAATCTGTTCACGTCCAGCACTCTGCCATTCATATTCAAATGAAATATTACTATTGGCATGTTTTCTATAACAAACACAATGAAAAGAGCACATTATATTACATTTCACAGGAAAATGATTTGTTACATAAGAACAGTCAGTGCTCTGAAGCAGCTCATCTGGCAGCTCTCCTCCCAAAATAGTACACTCCGTTTCCATTGATTCAGGAGAAGATGCTAGATGTGTTCATCCTGTTCTCAAAAAGCCATAATGGTAAAGCACTGAAGAACATCAAGGGTGGGAGAACAACAAAAAAATTAAATTTGGAAACTTATAAGCATAAGGCTGTCTCTCGTCTTTTGACAGATCACTGAGCCTACACACTGACAGATCGACTTTTTCCCTCTGAGTAACTCCGCTAATCCATCTAACACACACACGTGGCCTTCTGTCTCTGACTGTGACCTTGTCAACATTTGTCAGCCCTCCCGCGGACGCCAGCCGCAGACCAGTGTTCACCTTACATCCTCTCCTCTCGCATCCTCACCACTACAGACAGTCAGTCAAGGTCCAGGGGAACTTACTGTAAGCAAAATTAGTAATGGTAAAGCACTGAAGAACATCAAGGGTGGGAGAACAACAAAAAAATTAAATTTGGAAACTTATAAGCATAAGGCTGTCTCTCGTCTTTTGACAGATCACTGAGCCTACACACTGACAGATCGACTTTTTCCCTCTGAGTAACTCCGCTAATCCATCTAACACACACACGTGGCCTTCTGTCTGACTGTGACCTTGTCAACACTTGTCAGCCCTCCCGCGGACGCCAGCCGCAGACCAGTGTTCACCTTACATCCTCTCCTCTCGCATCCTCACCACTACAGACAGTCAGTCAAGGTCCAGGGGAACTTACTGTAAGCAAAATTAATCCACATGACCTGGCATGCATGTGATTTAGGGTAGCAGAGAGATTTTACTGAATGCCAAGTCATTACAGGTGGCCAAAGCCTTTAAACGGAGAAGCAGACACCTGGGCATTGTAGCACAAGGTGTACAGAACATTAACACAGTCTTGGGTCAGCAAGTCCTTCCCTTTTTCTCAAAGCACAGCAGTCTTGCAAGAAGGGAAGGTGATCGGGTGGTTTCAGATCTAAAAAGTAAGAAAAACATTCCACACTACCAAAGTTTGTAGTTTGATTGATTGATTTTAATGTTTTTGAAAGAAGTCTCATATGCAAAATGTAATTTATTTGATTAAAAATACAGTTAAAACCAATAATATTGTGAAATATTGTTATTTAAAATAAGTTTTCTATTTGAATATATTTTAAAATGTAATTTATTCCTATGATGTAAAGCTGAATTTTCAGCATCAGTACTCCAGTCTTCAGTGTCACATGATCCTTCAGAAATCAGTATAATATGCTGCTTTGCTGCTCAAGAAACATTTTGTGTTAATGTTGAAAACAGTTGTGCGTTCAGACCCCAAACTTTCAAACAATAGTATGTAAATTCAAATTCTAATGTGCTGTTGCCTTTCAAAATGTCTCTGAACGCATTATATTCTCAACCTTAATATACAATATATAAGCTGTGATGGCCCATTCTAGTAGGATTTGCCCACTTTTTATGATCCAATTCATTCCCAGTGGATACCCAACATGTTTTTTTTTTTTCTTATTGAAAATCCATTTTACTAGGAAATTAGTCACGTTACAGCAGTAAAATCAGTTTCCGATGCCATTTTATCTCAAGTACGACCCAAAGGGACTGTGTGCTTTTAATGTATTGGCCAAACATTCATATCTGCATTTGCATGCTTGCGTTCTGCCCTAAAATGCAGTAGCACATTTGATCCCGGATGGAGAGCAGCTCAGAAGACACAAAACCTTTATTTCAGCAACACCAAGCTTCAGTAAGTCACCCAGCGCCATTATAAGGCTGACATAAGCCTATACAATGCCCTTCCTGAAACAGTTGCATGCATTGACCTTCAGAATGGCCGCAGAGAGTTAAACCATGAATTAAACATGAGCTCATCTGAATTCGGTTAACAAGGACAATGGGGGTTTGGCGGTGGTTATTAGGCGGGATGTTAAACATCAATTCTCTCTCTCTCTCTGTGCCCTGTTTACTGTAATTCTGTATTCATGAGCATTTGGCATGCTGAGCCATGTTCCCTGTTGGTCAATAAGTCAGTGCTGACTGTAATGATGTACTAATCCATATCTGTAATGTCTCTATCTCTCTCTGAAGTGACGGGCAGCTGTCAGGTTTGAGGATGGATGAGTTACAGGATGTGCAGTTGACTGAGATCAAACCCCTCTTGACAAACAAGGTGAGTTTGCACACATTCATCTGGTTGTGAACGCCAGTGCTTCCCCTCTCTGTCTTTAACTACATCTCACCCCTCCACTCCAGTTCTCTCACTCTGATGAGCTCATCTGAATTCGGTTAACAAGGACAATGGGGGTTTGGCGGTGGTTATTAGGCGGGATGTTAAACATCAATTCTCTCTCTCTCTCTGTGCCCTGTTTACTGTAATTCTGTATTCATAAGCATTTGGCATGCTGAGCCATGTTCCCTGTTGGTCAATAAGTCAGTGCTGACTGTAATGATGTACTAATCCATATCTGTAATGTCTCTATCTCTCTCTGAAGTGACGGGCAGCTGTCAGGTTTGAGGATGGATGAGTTACAGGATGTGCAGTTGACTGAGATCAAACCCCTCTTGACAAACAAGGTGAGTTTGCACACATTCATCTGGTTGTGAACGCCAGTGCTTCCCCTCTCTGTCTTTAACTATGTCTCACCCCTCCACTCCAGTTCTCTCACTCTGACTCGATCCCGGGCTCCTCAAGGCGCTCGTCTCAGGGCCCGTTACCCTTGGATACCGAGCTGTACCGAAGCAGTGAGATCAGAGAGATGATGTGTAATGTCATCAGGTCCTAATCTCACAGCCGCTGGTATCACCAGCATCAAACAGAGCCTGAAATGAGCAGTTGTTAGAAAAACCTCAAGAACAAGAGCTTATTCATGTGTGTACTTTATAAAGTATGCATACTTCCATGTTTGCTTAATAAGGCTCTGTAAAGCCTGACATAATAGTTGTTGTTTATTTTAATTTGGAACGAAAAAAAGTTTGCATGTGTTTTTTTTTTTTTTTTTTTCTTGAGCAACATAATTGATACGTCAGACTTTTATGGTTTATTTTTTATTATTTTATTATATTTTTTATTATTACTTATATTTAAATTTTGTTAATTAGCGAACGCTTTTATCCAAAGTGACTAGGGCTGTCAAACAAAGATCTTGTTTGTCAAAACTGAAACCAAGCCGTTCACACAGAACGCATATTTTGCACATTTTCTAGAGGGACATCTATCACCATTGCACTCGCGTCTCGCACAAGAGAGCCGCATGTTTAGAAAGCCATGTAAAATTAATGCAAGTTCAACTTTGAAAAAAACATATCTCGAGACTTTATGGTGGGTTTTTTCCCCATCCCACTGCAACTCATGTTTTTAAATGAAAAATGTACTCTGTGTGATTGGTTTTCGGCCCTTTGTATTAAACTATGCATACATACATGCTGTTTTGTTTAAGTTAAGTTGTTTAAGCAACTTAATTAATTATAATTAGTTTATAAACATTATTTTAAACATTATGCACTTTTTTTCATGTAATTTTATGCTCGATGTGTTCTCTTGTGGCCTCAGGAGAGAAGCCAAAAGCTTTTCTTTACCCTAACTGAAATTATGCATTTTAAATTTGAATATAATTTGAATTTTTATCATATTTAAGCAAAAAATTCGTATTTAGTTTTTCAGCCATTTTGACAGCCCTAAAAGCGACTAACAAATGAGGAAAATAGAAGCAATCAAAACCAACAAAAGAGCTATAATTTGCAAGTGCTATTTTCAATTTCACAAAGAAATGTACAGTATTTTGTCCAAGCAATAATAAAAGGACACATTTAATTTATAATTTGTCTTAAATCTCATTTTGTTAAAAAAATCGTGAATCGAATCGTGAGTTGACTGAATCGTTACATCCCTAGTGTATATATATTATGTGTATATATAAATACACACACATACAGTATATATTTTGAATTTGTACCCGGGCTCCTCAAGGCGCTCGTCTCAGGGCCCGTTACCCTTGGATACCGAGCTGTACCGAAGCAGTGAGATCAGAGAGATGATGTGTAATGTCATCAGGTCCTAATCTCACAGCCGCTGGTATCACCAGCATCAAACAGAGCCTGAAATGAGCAGTTGTTAGAAAAACCTCAAGAACAAGAGCTTATTCATGTGTGTACTTTATAAAGTATGCATACTTCCATGTTTGCTTAATAAGGCTCTGTAAAGCCTGACATAATAGTTGTTGTTTATTTTAATTTGGAACGAAAAAAAGTTTGCATGTGTTTTTTTTTTTTTTTTTTTCTTGAGCAACATAATTGATACGTCAGACTTTTATGGTTTATTTTTTATTATTTTATTATATTTTTTATTATTACTTATATTTAAATTTTGTTAATTAGCGAACGCTTTTATCCAAAGTGACTAGGGCTGTCAAACAAAGATCTTGTTTGTCAAAACTGAAACCAAGCCGTTCACACAGAACGCATATTTTGCACATTTTCTAGAGGGACATCTATCACCATTGCACTCGCGTCTCGCACAAGAGAGCCGCATGTTTAGAAAGCCATGTAAAATTAATGCAAGTTCAACTTTGAAAAAAACATATCTCGAGACTTTATGGTGGGTTTTTTCCCCATCCCACTGCAACTCATGTTTTTAAATGAAAAATGTACTCTGTGTGATTGGTTTTCGGCCCTTTGTATTAAACTATGCATACATACATGCTGTTTTGTTTAAGTTAAGTTGTTTAAGCAACTTAATTAATTATAATTAGTTTATAAACATTATTTTAAACATTATGCACTTTTTTTCATGTAATTTTATGCTCGATGTGTTCTCTTGTGGCCTCAGGAGAGAAGCCAAAAGCTTTTCTTTACCCTAACTGAAATTATGCATTTTAAATTTGAATATAATTTGAATTTTTATCATATTTAAGCAAAAAATTCGTATTTAGTTTTTCAGCCATTTTGACAGCCCTAAAAGCGACTAACAAATGAGGAAAATAGAAGCAATCAAAACCAACAAAAGAGCTATAATTTGCAAGTGCTATTTTCAATTTCACAAAGAAATGTACAGTATTTTGTCCAAGCAATAATAAAAGGACACATTTAATTTATAATTTGTCTTAAATCTCATTTTGTTAAAAAAATCGTGAATCGAATCGTGAGTTGACTGAATCGTTACATCCCTAGTGTATATATATTATGTGTATATATAAATACACACACATACAGTATATATTTTGAATTTGTATTTACATGTCTATATTTATATTCATATAATTTATATTATAAATAAATATATGTAATATATAAACTAAACATATTTTTTCTGAAATACAGTATATACATGCATGTGTGTGTATTTATATATACATAATAAACATACCCAGCACACATACATATATTATGCAAACAAAAACTTTTATTTTGGGTGCGATTAATCGTTTGGCAGCACTATTCTGTACATACAAATTTCAGTTATTTACATAAGTAAAAAAACTACAGCAGATTACAAAACATGCCCTCTCTGGAATGTATGCGCAAAGTAGCTTTGATTTTGAAATATTTAAAATGTATACATTTCATTTTTATTTATTTATTTTATAAAGTAAATTGTTCAAAAAAAATGTTGAAATTAATTTTGGGTAACTCCTACATGCAAACTCAGGCACGACAATTCAGGCAGGAGATAAATTATCTCGCAGCACTGTTATTTGTCCTTTCTTTAACAGAATATAATTATGTGGTCAATGTCAGGTATAACATGGGCCATTGTGTCTTGCATGACCTGGTATTTTAACATTGCATGCTTAACACTTTCAGCTGATCTCTTTCTCTCTCTTTCCACACAGAATGGACAGAACTTCCAGGACTTTGATTGTCAGGTGAGTCTCTTGTGGTCATTAGGCCTGTATGTACTGCATATGACCTCCTGAAGCGTTCACCCGCAGTCATTAATCTACTCTTCCTGTGCCGCTGGTTTATTTCCCAGCGCTGTGTGATGGTGAAAGATTCTTGACCTGTACTTCACTGTTGAGCAGTGAAATTCACTCTGGTGTCTCTTTGTTGTGCTGTGGGTGTGTGGGAGGGTTTGTGGGTGGTGAGTTGAGCTGGAGGAGAGCAAGTCATGTACACAATTGTGTTATTTGCTGAAGAGCAAGATTTGACTCGGGGATGTAAGCACACTTCATTATCATACGTTTATTCCACTATTATTTCCCCCCTTCTTTTCTATTGGATTTCTACTAGAGCTGGTAACTATGCAACAGGATGACTTGAACTATTACATAATGTAACGTCTCTGAACTCCTGCAATGGGATAAAGAGGAAACCACTATACTATATGAGTGAGCTAGAGGAACTCAATCAAGAAACTATACAACTGCCTGAAGAGTCCAGCCTTAATGGTTCCTTGAAGCCCCATAATGCCTGATGACATTACTATTTTTTTAGCGTTTATAGTTCTTGGCATGCTAATATCATTAGGCTGAGCAGTTGCTATGGTGACGGTGTGTGAATGGGCTCTGTGGATGATGTAAACTGACACCTGTTGGGCTCCTCCTGAAGAGGGCAGTGTAAATACATATAACAGTCAAGCTGTTCTCAGACACACACACAAAAAAACATTATGTTTGATGGTTGTTTATATCTGTTTGGTTTGTTCTGTATGTTTCAGATTTATTTTAATTTTTTTGTCAAATGAGCAACTTTAGCTAAATGATGCTGTTTGGTCTTCTGGCAGCATTATTAACTATGCAGGCTTGTTTTTCTGTGTCTGGCTGATTAAAGTGTGATGGTGCAGCATTGGTTCTGTAGGGGTATGGCATTGGGTCAGATGGCACACGGGGCAGCGGATGTGTTTATTCAGGCATGACGCTCACTCTGCCGGAAAAGGACAGACACAAGGGATGACCATTTACTCTCATTACCATCAAATTTGCTGTATGCAACCGTTGTTTACTCTCTCTATTGTTTGTAAACACAAAAACATGGTTACAGGTTACTTACAGAGTTAATCTCTAGCAGCAGTTATGTAATTCACAAAGCTGGTGATATAAAGTATGATAGACTGCACTTTGTGCTTTTTTCACAGTTACTACATAATTTGTCACCTTAATATTTTATTTTGTTTGTTGTAAATTTTCATCATAACATTTTTACTTCCTTTTAGGTTTGCACGATTTAATCAAATTTGATTGTCAATTACGGTTTTGGCTTCCAACGATTATGAAACAGGATAATTAAGTGAAAAGTTTTGTCGTTTTTGTTTTAAATCCAGCTCACCCTTTTCCTTTACCACAGTGCACTTTCATCCTTCCTGATTTATTTTTATTTATAATTTATTATTCTTCCTGATTTATTTTTATATATAATTGCGATCTCAGTATTGACCAAAAGAAACATGATTAAGATTAAGCAGACCTACTTCATCACAAGATATAGTCTCTTGAAGTTTAATATATAGTATAATATATATTTATATTTATACCTTGAATACTGACTGGCCAAAATTAATATCATGCTAAAATACACAGCACTAATATTTAAAAAATAAATAAAAAATAAAAAGTATATATATATGTGTGTGTGTATACAGTGTATATATATATATTTATATTTATATTAGTACTGTGTATTTTAGTATATTGATTTTGGCCAGTCAGTATTCAGGATCAGAATCAGGCCTATGTAGTCTTTCAGCCACAGCCAAAATATATATATTTATTTATTTTTGGTAGTCTTTGTTCATAACTATGGCATTAACTAATGTTAACAAATTGTTGTGTTTTCAAGTATGCTTGACTCCATAGACATTTTTGTGAAGCAGTTAGACAGGATTGTGGAGATACACACTGCCCTCTGTGGGTCGTGAGGTGTATTGTATTCTCTTTTAACATTTTTTTTATAGTTGTCAGACAGTGTAGAGACCGAGCTGACATTTTAATATCTGAGATCAAAACCCTCTGCCTCTCTCATCTCTGACAGCGTAGCAGATTTGGAGCATCCTCAACTGCTGCTGTGGCAGGATACACCTGCTGCTTGATGTGGCCTCTCTCAAGCACACGCGCTTGCATACAATTACACTGATCAGGGGTGTGTTCCAGTACTGGGGTGTACATGCGTGGGCCGCTGCACGGGGGGCTTTCTTCACACATCGCAATCGCAGGGAAATCCTTGTTCCCCTTCACCCACTCTCTCATCCATCAGAACTTCAGGTGCATCCTGGGACAAGGTTACACCGTCTAAAATGTCAAGGGTTAACCTGTGTTTCTGGGTTATGCTCATATTAACGGTAGGTATGTTCAAAGATCAGGGAAGAATCTCACTGCCACTTATATAATAGATAACTTCAACATTATTATGCAGGTTTTATCTTTGTGTGCTTGGGATCCTCATGGCTTTTGTAGCAGTTCACATGCTTTTTGTCAGTTTTTATAATTCAGACAGTTCAAAGATTATGCATCACAGAATGTGATATGATTTCATTAGGTACGAAGGAAATGATGGAATATTTAATGATGGTGGTTTGTTTAATTGTCTTAAAGGCCTATTTCTGATGAACTCTGGTCTGATGAACCTCAATTCCAAGCATCATGTTTGAAGGAAACAAGGCACTGCGCAGAGTACCATACCAAAAGTAAAGTGTGCTGGTAGCAGCCTCATGCTGTGGGGCTGTTTTTCAGCGGCAGGGACTGAGGGACTCGTCAGAGTAGAAGAAAAGCTCAATGCACCAAAATATAGAAATAACCTTAATGAAAACCCAGTCCAGAGCATTCAGAACCTCAGACTGGGCAGAAGGTTCAGCTTCCTACAGGACAATGACCCTAAGCACACAGCAAGAGTGGCTTATAAGCAAATGTGTGAATGTCCTTGAGTGGCCCAACATGTTCTTTTTACCCTTGGTACCTTTGACTTTGAACTGGAGTTTAATTGCTTTCATGCCATTAATTTTTCATGATTCTGATCCACAGTATGGTTGCAGAATATTTTTGGTAATAGTAGGAAAGCAAGCCAGAAATGGTATTGTATACTAATGCACAATCTCTGAGGTTATCCAACAGCAGAACAGATATGCTTGAGATATTCAGCTCTGTAGTATCTCCTTGTCATCTTGTCTTGCCTTGGTTAAATTGAAAGCACCGCTTCCTTTTTCTTCCTCACATTTCCCCAGCGCTGCAGCCAGGCTGCGCTCTCCGGACAGTAAAATCAGAAGAGGTTAAGTTTAGGATTACACTGTTGCAGACGATCACATTTCCCACAGCAGAGCCTCGAATATCCTTTCCTTTCACATTTTCTATCTTGAACCACAATAGACATTTGGAAATATTCATGCATGTTTTGTCACCACATGGAGTTGTCCATGCCTGTCGCTATGGCAACAGCAACTTGGATGTTACCGCATGTTGCATTCACTTTTGGATGGATTTATCCACTTCTATTAATTACATTTCCCAGTAAATCACCCTTATCAACTCACCCGCCGAAACAAAAGCAGAGATTTACACACCCCACCCCCTCCACCTGACCCTGTAAATCCAATTAGAGCAGCTTGAGTGCCCTCCTCTCTCTCAAACACACTCTCCAGGCATTTATACATCTGCTTTGCTTTGGATCTCTCTTTTATCCTCTCATTTTACCAATGTCGGCTTCTATTGAGAGGGGAAAAGGCTATAATTTGTTACTGGTGGGAGTTCAAAGCCGTCGGTCTTGCTTCTGTTAATCGCGTCTGTGCCCTCCCTTACCTCGTGCCACCGCCCCTCTCTCTGAGGAGAGTGAGAAGAGGGAACCGGAGAAAGCGTCTGTTCTGTGATCGCTGGATGAAACATGACGGCAGTGCTGGACATCAACCAGGGTTCCTGTGCAGTGAGCGGTGTGGTGAGTGTTAACAGAAAGACTGTGTTTTGTGTCAGAGTAGCCTGTTGCTTTCCCTCCGAAGCAGCAGCAGGAACTTTGCAGACGTGATCTGCTCACGCTCTCAGGTTTGTGCATGAGTGCTGATGGAGTTTGAGTCGTGTTGTAGGTAGTGTGGGTGAATGATGGGCGTTATCTGCCTTTTGTCTGATGGTTGTTTACATATGTGTGTGCCGTCATGTGCTTTCATGTGTCTGTAAGTGTCAAAGGGAGGCCTTTGTCTCACTTTACAGTGTGACATCAAATGAGATGTCACACTTTACAGATTCTGTGATCGGCTTGCTCTGAGACACTGCTAATGATATATGGAGATAAAAAAAAAGGAGCGTGTGGATTTTTATCATTACAGGGTGGTTGTGTACAAACACTGCCAACACACATTTATGTCCAAACAATATGTGAATGTGAATTTTGCATAATATGTGCCCTTTAACCCCTTAACTGTCACCCCCCATTTTTTTAAATAGGCATGAAAGTGCACTATCCCAACTTAAATTGTTGTAATTTATGAACACTTTGGAATACAGACCTAAGGTTTGTCACATTTTGGCTATTTAATTTATGCAATGGTGAAAAAAAAAACACACGAAAAACCGTATTCGGCCTTCGGCCCAGTGTTTCATTTTGTTTGGTTTCGGCTTCGGCCAAGAATTTTCATTTCGGTGCATCCCTATTTATGATGATTACTAAAAGATTTGATAGAGAAAAAGGACAACAACAACAAAAAAACGCCAAGTGTCCCACAGGTGGGATGGTGACAGTTAAGGGGTTTAAATAACTTTGCTTTTTAGCAGTGCATGATGCTGCAATAAGTTTTTGTTTTTGTTATATTGACTTTTTACAAAGCCACATTCATCTTCAGTTACTAAAATTAATTTACTTGGTTATGTAGACAGTAACTTCAGGATTGTCACATTTTACCATTTAAATCACATCTTTACTGTTTTACTTTTGAACAGACCTTTGAAAAATATCTTGCAGAATTTGTGTGCACTGCACAGGTGTAGTAACTTCCCTATCTTAATAGCTGCTTTTGTCTCCGCTGTTTACAGACAAACAGAAGACAGGTACTTGTGTTCGGATGAGATTTGAACTTTTTACTGCTGCCAACCTCTTTATCAAGTTCACCTTGTTCTCTTTCTTCCATCCGTATCAGAGCACTGCCGTCTCTGACAGATCCCTGACACGTTTCTGAGCTGCCCTCAGGCACATCTACCTTTAGCTTGATCCGCGCTGCCTGCTTTTCCATTTCTGTCCTGCTGCTGCTGGTTGGCTGCTGTGGTGTGGTGTTGTCTTGGTAACGGAGTCTTATTGTTGCTGTAGGTTCTTGGATTAAGAGGAAAAAGACCAATAGCAAGTGACCATGCAGTGTCAGAAGTGATTATATTGTTGCTGTTTTAAGTACTTATGACTTGTGATTTAATTTTCTTGGTTATACAAAAGAGTGACTGTCCTGTTTGATAAACTATAATTTCAGAGTAGCAAAACAATTTTATACAATGTTTGTATTACATGCATACATTTTTGTTCAAGTAATTAATACTTTTATTTAGAAAGGATGCATTAAATCGATCAAAAGTTGCATTAAAGACGTTTATAATGTTGCAAAAGATTTCCATTTCAAAATAGTCCTACTCTTTAGAATTTTCTATGCAAATTATCCTGGAAAAAAAATAAAAAAATATAAATATATATATGAGGCAGCACAACGGTTTTCATCATTTATAATAATAAGAAACTTCTGAAGGATCATATGACACTTGAGACTGGAGTAATGATGCAGAAAATGCAGCTTTGCAACACAGGAATAATTTTTATTTTTATTAATCATAATAATATTTTGGAATATTAGTGTTTTTACTATTACTATCTGTTTTTGATCAAATAAATTCAACCTCAGTGAGCATAAGAGATTTTTTTCAAAACCTTTCCAAAATGTTACCGACCATGATTTAATCGGCCAGAAGCTACAAGCATTTAGCCTCACAACGAGAGGTATAGAAACATAAAAAATGCATAGCAGTCAGTTCACAAATGCTTTTTTCAGACAAAACGGTTTTATTTCAGATGGACGAGTAGTTGTGCAGTGTCAAATTGAAACTGGGTGTCCTCCAACGGCTGTTTCCATTGTAGACCGCTTTGATTATAAAGGGGAGTGAGCAGGTTTTGTCATGTCACAGTGTGCCGCTCACGTCCAGTGTAGAAATGGCAGCACTGTAGAAACACCTGTTTCTGGAGACTGTTTGAACGGTGCATCAAGACATCACACAACAGTCACCTAACATGAGATGTCAGGGAGAGCAGTATGTGTGTGCACAAACATAACCGCCTCGTCTATTTTTAAATCTGCTGCCTTTAGTGGGTGCTGTGTGGTTTGCTTCAGGTGTCAGCTGCTAGAATGATTTCTAGATCTTCTGCTTAAGACATCACTATTCTACACTACATTAGAGAGAGATGGTTTTCTTCTTATATATACAAACATGCATGCTGCGTCTTCGGTTAAGGTCACTATAGCCTTGTGTTTATATAAGTTTGTGGAGTCTGCAGGTTTGCATCAAAACCGTGTCCGTCTCCTCCAGTGCAGGTCAGAGCTGCTTTTGGTTCTTATGGTCCTCATGCTGTGTGTGGAATGAGATTAGAGCCGGACCTGCTGCTCTTTTGGCCTTAGGAGTCCTTAAGTAGTGCTGTTAGCCTCTCACCTCATTCTTGTGGTTCAAGCCTCATCCTGTTTGTGTCGTGTTGTAGCTGAGCTGTCCATTTCATCCAAGGCGACAGATTTTTTTACTTTGATGTATAATGCTGTGGTGGTGGTTGTGGTGATGTGCAACAACAAACAACATCAAGGGTGGGCCAAAACCTACACCACAGCGAAACACAAGGCGGTGATTGAATCAGACGTTGACCTGCATTGTTTTTTGGGAACAGGCTAAAAGAAACCCTTGAGTTAATTATTACCTGATTTAGAGATGTTATTTGACTGGATGAGCAGATATTTCCTTACAAAGAATAAGTTTAAAGGCCCCTTATGTAAACCTTTCAGTCTGTGTTTTCATGCAGACATTGCAGGAATGATTTCAAACAGCTCTATGCTTAAACTGTTGACACCTTTGCACTTCTATTATTAATTCACATGTCATCTTCTGATTGGTTGCAGGAGCATGACATTGAGACTCCTCACGGTGTCCTTCATGTGACTTTGAGAGGGACTCCTAAAGGCAACAGACCGGTCATTCTCACCTATCATGACATTGGACTCAACCGTAAGTTGTCCCATATATTTTCAAAGTTCCTGTCTTTCAGTGGCAAAATGTATCATTATACAGCTCACCTACTTGAAGAGGAGAGGGATTGGTTTTTAGATGAGTATTTCTCAACCTTGTTCTTGGAGGAACCAGATGTGTAAAGTCCAGGGCAATGTTAATTTTTACTGGCATTTTTGATTTAGTCTTAGTCTTAAAGGCCTCCTGTAGTGAATCCATGCGTTTTTGTTCGACAAATATCCATATTTCAAACGTAATAAATACTTTTTTCTCACTTCCGTTATCTGTCATACACGGAAGCCGTTCCGGCGGATGACGTAGGACGTCGGCATTGCGTGATTAGTGACGAATGCGGAGAGAGAACAAAACAAAATGCCGGTCATGAATTAGAAGTACAAACCGAGGATTTGTAAAGAAAAATGTCAGAGGATTTTTATATAAACCAAGAGGAGACTGGTTTTCCTTAGCTAAAGTAAGGAAACTTTGCTTCCTTTGCTCCTATAAACAAACTCGCGAGACTAGCATATCTCAGAGGCGCGCACGCTGCGCATAATTCCTGCATCTTCCACCGGCACGGCTTCCGCTTCGTCTGAAAGAAGAAAGCCATATACATCTAGGATGCCTCAAGCGTTAGTAAAACAGTCAAAACCATGATTTAATCGGCCAGAAGCTACAAGCATTTAGCCTCACAACGAGAGGTATAGAAACATAAAAAATGCATAGCAGTCAGTTCGCAAATGCTTTTTTCAGACAAAACGGTTTTATTTCAGATGGACGAGTAGTTGTGCAGTGTCAAATTGAAACTGGGTGTCCTCCAACGGCTGTTTCCATTGTAGACCGCTTTGATTATAAAGGGGAGTGAGCAGGTTTTGTCATGTCACAGTGTGCCGCTCACGTCCAGTGTAGAAATGGCAGCACTGTAGAAACACCTGTTTCTGGAGACTGTTTGAACGGTGCATCAAGACATCACACAACAGTCACCTAACATGAGATGTCAGGGAGAGCAGTATGTGTGTGCACAAACATAACCGCCTCGTCTATTTTTAAATCTGCTGCCTTTAGTGGGTGCTGTGTGGTTTGCTTCAGGTGTCAGCTGCTAGAATGATTTCTAGATCTTCTGCTTAAGACATCACTATTCTACACTACATTAGAGAGAGATGGTTTTCTTCTTATATATACAAACATGCATGCTGCGTCTTCGGTTAAGGTCACTATAGCCTTGTGTTTATATAAGTTTGTGGAGTCTGCAGGTTTGCATCAAAACCGTGTCCGTCTCCTCCAGTGCAGGTCAGAGCTGCTTTTGGTTCTTATGGTCCTCATGCTGTGTGTGGAATGAGATTAGAGCCGGACCTGCTGCTCTTTTGGCCTTAGGAGTCCTTAAGTAGTGCTGTTAGCCTCTCACCTCATTCTTGTGGTTCAAGCCTCATCCTGTTTGTGTCGTGTTGTAGCTGAGCTGTCCATTTCATCCAAGGCGACAGATTTTTTTACTTTGATGTATAATGCTGTGGTGGTGGTTGTGGTGATGTGCAACAACAAACAACATCAAGGGTGGGCCAAAACCTACACCACAGCGAAACACAAGGCGGTGATTGAATCAGACGTTGACCTGCATTGTTTTTTGGGAACAGGCTAAAAGAAACCCTTGAGTTAATTATTACCTGATTTAGAGATGTTATTTGACTGGATGAGCAGATATTTCCTTACAAAGAATAAGTTTAAAGGCCCCTTATGTAAACCTTTCAGTCTGTGTTTTCATGCAGACATTGCAGGAATGATTTCAAACAGTTAAACTGTTGAACTGTTGACACCTTTGCACTTCTATTATTAATTCACATGTCATCTTCTGATTGGTTGCAGGAGCATGACTCCTCACGGTCTCACGGTGTCCTTCATGTGACTTTGAGAGGGACTCCTAAAGGCAACAGACCGGTCATTCTCACCTATCATGACATTGGACTCAACCGTAAGTTGTCCCATATATTTTCAAAGTTCCTGTCTTTCAGTGGCAAAATGTATCATTATACAGCTCACCTACTTGAAGAGGAGAGGGATTGGTTTTTAGATGAGTATTTCTCAACCTTGTTCTTGGAGGAACCAGATGTGTAAAGTCCAGGGCAATGTTAATTTTTACTGGCATTTTTGATTTAGTCTTAGTCTTAAAGGCCTCCTGTAGTGAATCCATGCGTTTTTGTTCGACAAATATCCATATTTCAAACGTAATAAATACTTTTTTCTCACTTCCGTTATCTGTCATACACGGAAGCCGTTCCGGCGGATGACGTAGGACGTCGGCATTGCGTGATTAGTGACGAATGCGGAGAGAGAACAAAACAAAATGCCGGTCATGAATTAGAAGTACAAACCGAGGATTTGTAAAGAAAAATGTCAGAGGATTTTTATATAAACCAAGAGGAGACTGGTTTTCCTTAGCTAAAGTAAGGAAACTTTGCTTCCTTTGCTCCTATAAACAAACTCGCGAGACTAGCATATCTCAGAGGCGCGCACGCTGCGCATAATTCCTGCATCTTCCACCGGCACGGCTTCCGCTTCGTCTGAAAGAAGAAAGCCATATACATCTAGGATGCCTCAAGCGTTAGTAAAACAGTCAAATTTTTTGGGTGAACTAACCCTTTAATTAGGAATGCTGTCCCTTTAAGACGGAAGGCATGCATGTAATACTGACACATGTTCAGTTTTCACCCACCTGTTTACGTTCACTTAATCCATAACCGACTGTATTTACGTGAGATACTCTACACGATAGACATTTGGACTGATGTGTGTGTATTTGAGGACTGAGAACTGATCGCACGCTGTATATGAGAACTGAAGAAGTGGAGCGTGCGCGAGGGAGCACTTCTATCAGCGCGATTCTGCCTATCTAACTTTAAGTTAATCGACAACGAATTGTGACTCCCGGGAAAAACGGGACGTCTTGTCACCTTACCCTACCCCTTCAGGTGCTGAGGCCATTGTTTCAGACCCCTAGTTCGCATTTTGGTAGCCTATCCATCCACTGTGACTGCCATACTGAGACTAGATATGCAAACACCCCTTATCCGATTGCAATCCAATGACAGGGACGCACATTTTGAAGGACAAGACAGTAGCCTATAGGATGTATTTTGAATGTCCGGTAGTCCTCAAATAACATTATAGTTCCATCTTGTCTTGTTAATAAAGACGCGGCATAAATTCCGTCATAATTTTTATCATCAGATATTAGTTTTAGCTCGTCAATGTCTTGTCATAGTCACAGAAAAAATGTTCGTTAACGAATATTTTTCGTCGTTGTCTTCATTGACGAAATTAACACTGGTCCAGGGGTCAGAAAGTAAAAGTCCTGCCATATGTTTATTCCACTCATGAACTCAGCCAGCTGATTTCACTAATTAGTTCTACCTCCTGGCTGAAAAACTGTGCTAATTAGCAAATCCAGGTGATTGGAACAAAAATACTGATGAGGACTTTTACTTTCTGAACCTTTACACCTCTGAGAGGAACACCATCTTGGTGTTTGAATATGCCTGCTTCCCTGCTATATAATAGAAGATAAACTCATAGTTTTAATACATATAGTAGGCAAAAAGCACCTGGATATCCTACAGTACTACTAATGTCGAGATTCTGAGAAAAGGTGCAAATGACTCTTCACCAGGAGTTTGATTGACAGGCGATCAGACCAATCATAACACTGAATCTGCCGTTTTGTCCGACAAACAATCCAGACAGAAGAGTAGATTAATGTCGGTGGACTTGAACTTGAAAAATGGTGTGTATTGACGTTTTTCCACGGTTGACACAAGATACCTCCTGATGTTCATTCATGTTTATTTCATGCTTTAACTAGTAAATATGAAAATCAATGACTCGCCCGCAATTTTGTGTAGCTTGTCAGTGAACTACGGCTCTGTGTAGTAAATGCCGCTCCATCTGAATGCACGTGCTGGAGATTTACTACTAATCACAGGAGCGGCTTTATTGACGAGATGCGCATGAAAATCGCATTTGATTTTTTGCACAGCCCTAATTATCTGTGTACATGCCGCTTGAACTGAGGCACTATGGCGATCTGTCATGACACATTAAAGAGCCACAAAACGGTATTTATAGTTTGAATTTCATAAATGACAAAATTTGAAAGCTGAGACTTTTTCATACAAAAAGTAACCTGCTCTGTCTTGTCTGTCGATGCGTTGTCAGTTTCCTCTTTGCTCCGTGATGTATTTTTCACTGCGTGAAACATGTGGCGCTCTCGCTTGTTGGACATTGCAACAGTAACTAAGAGGGGCAGGGTCTTTGCGAAGGGTCAATTGACGCCGTAGGTCACATGACAATACGACTGAGGCAGTACATCCAGAATACATTTATACAAAACACATTCTTACTATATGGAGCTTTTTAACAGTTGCCAAGTTCATTCCTCATCACATGTAGTTCAGGACCTATGTGATTTCAGTTGCACATCAACGCTACGCATTTTCAGACTCTTTATTTGAGTGTATATATGTCTAAAGTCCAACTGAAAGCAGGAAAAGTTAAAAAATGTGGACAGGAAATTTATGTTGAAACCAAGCTTAGGTAGAATGGGGCATCTGTTCTTTTTATTTTATATATATATATATATATATATTTATTATTATTATCTATATATATATATATATATATATATAAAATTAATCCACAGTAATTTTACACTTGTCTAGTACAAATATGTCACTTTGTTTCATAATTACAGCATAGACGTTTTTCTTTATTTACCCTCAAAAAATGGAAGTGAATTGTGACAACATGTCCCGCAGGTGGGGTACATGTCACCTTTATTTGTAACCGTTAGTTGGAGTAGCTTGTGAAAACGCACCATTAGATGTTTAATTGAGCAGCTGAATGAAGTTCAGGTCATCAGAGGTGAAGATCCTTGAAGTGTGTCTGCAGTAAAACCATCTGTCCTCAGTCTTCAATAAATTCCCCACACCTCCTCTGAGATGCGTAGTTCACACATGCATTCACACTCTCACCCTACACAAAGCTCTTATTCACCATCTACGCACAAACATAAACACTGAGGATAGATACCTTCATAAACGCACTCAAACACACACTCACTCATGTATCCTGCTGGTTATTATCAAGGTATAAATTGATAAAGGGTATTTTTCTCCAATTAACTAAAGAATGTGACTGTCTTTCACTATTGACTCTATTACTTCAGTTCAGCACCTCACACTTTCATCCATCTATCAGCTTGCATTGCACATTTATCATATTTCTGCCACTTGCTAATTGGGTTCTGTGATGTCAGATGGCCGATTTGAACAAACACACACCTACGCAGCTCTGCAGAACAACTACAGCACCGTAAACTTAAACTCATTTGAATTACAATTTGCTTGTCACATGCTTGTCCGTAGACATGTGGTCATGTGAGTGCTACCTCGAGGGCTTGCATTTCTCTGAATGTCTGGTGCAGAGCGTTATGCAGAGAGGAAAAAGAAGAGGTGTGAAACCTGAACTTTTTTCCGTCACGATCACTGTAACAAGACTTTTGATTAGTTCACATGGCTGCCTGTAGCTGAATTTCTTTGTTAAAACCAAGTGTGAGCCCTTGCAGTAAGTTAGCGCTTTGGACACTGAGATAATGAGAACTTGGTTAAGGTGATGATGTATAGGTCACGTATAGGTAGACATTTTTGCTTGGTCACCACTGAGATTAAAGTTGACTTTCTCAGACCTGTAATTTGTACAATTTGTAAAGTGATCCCTTTCCCATGGCTTTACTTTGTTGCATTCTCAAGCCATCTTCTGTAACAGGCCTATTTCAGTGGTAAAACAGAATACTCGAGACAAAATGTTGGCCAAAATCTGATTTTATCTGTCACAAACTAGACCTTATAAAGTGGCACTCCATACTAGAATGGAGACTCAAATAAGAGTTTTTCAGTCAGCCAACTACTCGAATCCCATTCCTTTAATATTTATTACATTACTGTTAAACATGGGCAAAGATTTTATAAATGCTTCATTATCTACCACTGTAGTTTAAAATTATGCTTAAAGGAATAGTTCACCTAAAAATAAATATATGATGAAGGTTGCAAAACTGTATGACTGACTTCTGTGGAAATTCAGTGGAAATTCATTAATTCATTCATGCATTCATGCATTAAAGGGGACATCAGATGCCCATTTTCCATAAGTTGATATGATTCTTTAGGGTCTTAAAGGGTTAGTTCACCCAAAAATGAAAATTAGCCTGTGATGTACTCACTCTCGAGGCATCCTAGGTGTATATGACTTTCTTCTTTCAGACGAATCCAATCGGAGTTATATTAAAAATTATCCTGGCCCCTCCGTTTGAAATATGGATATTTTTCTTACAAAAACGCATAGATTCGCTACAGGAGGCCATTATTCACACAAACATAAACGCATTTACGTAGATTGGGGGGCGCATTCCCTTAAAAAAACAAAAGTTATCCACTGTGGCTTCAGCGGCTCAGATATAGGGATTTAATGACGATTGCTATGTTCATTATTACATCCAACAACAAAACACCTCAATCACTTAGGAGACATTCTTGTCTACATCTGCTCCGGCGTCGAAACACCAGTGTCAGTCAAACAATCATGGGAGGGGCCTGCCAAAAGTACCTCACACTGCCAAGAATCTGTGAACGGGTTGATCTGAGAAAGAGGTTATGATTTATGGGGATGTTAAAAAAACACTGGATTTTTATCATTATAGGGTGGTTGTGTAGTACTGCCAGCACACATTTATGTTCAAACATCATATAAAAGTGAATTTTGCATCTGATGTCACCTTTAAATCATTCATTCATTCATTTATTTCATTCATGCATCCATGCATCTGTGCATTCATGTATTCATTAATTCATGCAATGGAAGTCAACAGTCTTCAAATTATCTTTGTTTGTGAATGAAGTCATACAGGTTTGGAACAGCATGAGGGTGACAATGGCAACAGTTTTCATTTTTGGTTGAACTATCCCTTTAAACAGCTATTTGCCTGTTCGCATAATTAAACTTTAACCAGTAACGAGCAAAATTGGTATTGTCCACCAAAAAGGAAAGATGTTGCAGATGCAGAAGTATTTATACCTGTTTGATGACAAAATTTGAAGATTACTCTTTAGAATAATATGCACTGATGCACAAGAGAAAAGGCTGAGAATGAGTATTCAGAAAGTAAATGGGATCAGTTTTGATTTTCATGTTGACTACTGACATTTTTTTAAATCAGGTTTTCTGTGGTATTTTGTGCTCCCAGGCCAATTACAATGTGTTCGACTGTCACATGACCCTGGCAAGTCTATAGCTAGCAATACCACAAGAAGTCAAGAATCTGTCTAATAATCCTCTCAGTCAGTAGGTGCTCTGAGTGTTAAAGTCAGTATGAGCCATAATGATGAACTAATCCATGTAATCTTACCATTCTCTTAGCTGAATGAGCCTGCTCTGGTGGAGGGGTTGGTTCTCATCAATGTGGACCCCTGTGCTAAGGGCTGGATTGACTGGGCTGCCTCTAAGGTAAAATTGTGCATGTTTATTTTGTGCAGAAAATTATTAAATAGTTAAATAAATGACTATAAAAAATATGATACTCGTACTGCCCCAGCAACAAGCTGTTGTATCTCCAAAGGTACAGTTTTTTGTAATAGGCACATATAATGCTTTAGTCTGCCACAGTAGTCTTTTACAATAATCTTAGTATTATCTTGGATGCTTTTCTCAAAACAAAAAAGATACCATTTTAGTTTCATTCGCATTTTAGTGTAATCAACTATGCATGGAATTACTTAAATTTTTTATTTTCTTTATACACTATGCATAATTAAGATATCCTATCCTTTCATTATTAGCCAAAAGCTAACCCTAACCATTCCTCCATACTTAAAATTTCTCAACAGATTAGTGTAGTTGATCTTCTTAAAGATTTCCCTGTTGTAAAGCTCATAATAACCTTAGAGGTCAGAATGCTACAATAATTAAAGGTGCTCAAGTCAGTGGAGGTGCTGGGAACACAATTTGTTTGATCTTCAAACATTGTGCTTTTCACAAAAAATGTGCATGTGTGTTTCTGTTGTAGTTATCTGGATGGACCAGCAGTCTTGTAGACATTGTGATGGCACACCATTTCAGCACGGTAAGCCTTAAATATGACACTCACCTCTGCATCTATAAGATGATTCACTCAGAACAAAAACATTTCTCTTAGAGTGTGTTCATGAGCTTTTGTACCTCAGGACGAGCTGACAGAGAACCAGGAGATCATTCAAACATATCGTCTGCACATCGCTCAGGACATCAATCAGGACAACCTGGCTCTCTTCTGCCACTCCTACAACAGGTGACATTATCAGTTCATGTACTGATCATTGTCATATGAGCTGATCTTGATAAAAGTTTTCATTTGCATGTCACAGTCGGCAAGATCTGGAGATTGAGAGGCCTGTCCTGGGACTTAATGAAAATACAGTCAAAACGCTGAAGTAGGTTGTTTGGTTGTCTGTTTTTGTCTATTTTGGCTGTAAATCATTGTGCCTTCTCTTCCATAGACTTTTATGTTTTTCTTCTGTTACTGTTTAGATGTCCTGCCTTGCTAATAGTTGGTGACACATCACCAGCGGTAGAGGCTGTGGTGAGTGACTAATTCGAGAACATTGCTATTGCATCTATGGGCAACGGTAGAGAACATAGTGTGCTTTCTTAAAGGCCCGTTATGCTCATCTCTTCATACATTTCCATTCAGAGTGTACCAATGACATCACATCCTAAAAGGGGCTGTGCATCATAAAGTCTTATGCACTTGTGCTTGTTGTAAAGCACTCTTGAATAACTATAATATGCTTCTGGTCTTGGATCCTGATTGTCCAAAACAGCAGTTCCATCTGTTCTAAAATCCTTAATACAGAAAAAGCTTAATGTGCACTTAATGAACACACCTACTGAGTTTGCCTAAGTTTGGCACTTTAGAGTGAGACTGAGCCATTAATGCTGGGCAAACTGTTTGGTTTAGTGTAGAGTTGGTCATTTTATCTGTCTATACCTTCCATTTTGTTTCTAAACTGACCAGGTGGGATTTTATCTGTTTTTTTACAGGTTGAATGCAACTCAAGGCTAAATCCAACCAAGACTACTTTACTCAAGGCATGTCAGCTTTTTTCTCCAAGAGCAATGTTTTAATTTAGGGATGCAAACTCTCACCTTTGTGTATACCAAAATGAGGTTTTGAGTTGTCAAGAAAGCGCCGCAATGTGCTCTTTTACACAAAAGCAACTCATGATCCAGTGTTTTCAGTCTCTCAGAGTAAAGAGAGTGGTTCGCAGAAAATGTAGCACCACACAAGCTCCCATCTCTGCATGTGCTGAGAGTTTGGGTTGCTTGTAACATACATTTGAAAATGTAAAATTTTTAATTATAAATCTGTCAACAAATAAAATGTTTGAGGTCCCGCTATCGCTAACCCTGTCAGAAGTCAGTCAGTCATGAAGAATATGAGATAGACAAAATCCAGAAGAACTGTGGCAATATCTCCAAGACGTTTGAAGAAACCTACCTAAAAACAATACCCTTTGCATTTAAAACCGCTTTTGTTCTAGGTGCACTTGCGCAGTCACACCAAATATTAATTTAATTTAGTTAATAGAAGTTAATTGATCAATAAAATCTATGTATGACATTATTTCTGAAAGCATCCTCACTGCCTAAAACTTTTCACAGTACTGTAGCTTTGCAGGTAGGTTTCTTCAATCAAGTGTTTTGGAGACATTGCCACAGTTCTTCTGGATTTAGTCTGTCTCGGGTTTTTTTTCTTCTTCTTCTTCTAATTCCTGTCAGATCGAAGATCCAAGATCGGATCTCTGTGTGGAGCACTGGCTGTTGTCAGACTCCTTGTGCAAACAAAAATCTCACTGGATTATTACAATTAATGGCAAAAAGAATATTTGGAAATGTAAACTGATATTTCCTACTGACACACTGCAGCAAAAGATAAAAAAAATAACTGCCTTATAACCATTTTTTGTTGGTGAAATGTCTGGGGTCACATCTTTGTGACATTTTTCAAGTTTCCATCTCTGTTGATTATTGTACTTCAGTATGACACAATTGATTATTGTTCCCTTCCTCTTTTCAGATGGCAGATTGTGGTGGACTTCCCCAAGTTGTCCAAGTAAGAATAAAAGACAACACTATTGTGTCTGCCACAGCATGAATTTGATGTACTTTAGACTTGTATTAAATGTGGATGTTTTCTATTTTCAGCCGGGTAAACTCGCTGAGGCTTTCAAGTACTTTGTCCAGGGAATGGGCTACAGTAAGTATCTGTCCTCTTTGTCTTTTCATAGGCCACTTTAATGTTAAGCGTTTAATCGTATCATCTTCCTTCGTTATATACCTTCACTGTTTGTATATATTTTGCCTCTTATTTGCATTTTTGTCTGAAAGCATCGTGTTGTTAGAGAGATGTCACGTTGGGCGTCATACGTCATAAATACTCACACAACTCAAAACAGCTGCAGGAATATGACACATTTACGGGTGTAGGTGTGAGAGAGAAAATCCTGCCTGTTCAAAGCAAGAACACAAGGCATCAGATGTTATGAATCTTGAAAAGAACTGTAATTTATCCACTGCTGATCTGGCTTTATTACTCGAAGCTTCAGGCCAGTATTCTTGAGTTAAGCAGGTTTCAGATCAGCCGTCCTCTGCACTAACACATGACTTGTCTCCCATGTGGCTGTGCAGTGCTGCGTTCTTCAGCGTGTAAGTACACTAGTCTTCCTCTAAGAGCATGCTGTGTGGCATGAGCCCTGTGTGACAAACCTTCTCTGATCTTCAGGATAAATATCTCTTGTGCCCTAAAAGGTCCTTTGCCTGAACAGAGGTTTGCTTAGCATGGAAACTTTATTGCTGTAATGCAGTACCTCAAACCTCCATGAATCTGTATTCAAGGCCTCAGCTTCATTCAGCTCTAATGTTTATATGGTTATTTTCAGAATAGGCTTTTATTCCGGGATATAAACATTAAATGAAATTTTTGTGTGTGATTGTATTTAAAGGTGTGTTATTTCTAGTGGTGCAACGGATCACAAAACTCACGGTTCGAATATAACGAATTTCGAGTCACGGATAATTTTTTTGGATTCGCTAAAAAAAAAAAAAGGTTTGCTCTTCATTTATTACTCAAAGCTTACTTTAAATTCTTCTATACCGCAGCAAAAACTACTAGCTTGACTAGTACACAAAAAAACAGTTACACAAATTAAAAGCATAGATGAATACAACATAAAGTTACAAATAAAGTCAGTAACTGTAGTATTCAGGTGCAGAAATGTAAAAATTAAGTTTAAAATAACACAATAGTGCTCACTGCATAAGTTAAATACAGAATAATCTTTGTTAAAGCTGTGGTGTTGTTTGAATAGCAGAGAGAAGCAGGTATTTATTGACTGCTATCACTTTAAGACCAAATGCACAGACCTAATACTGACATACATCTGTTTTGTTTCTCAGCTGTTTACATTCACTTAAGACATAAATGACTGTGTTTACCAGAATACTTGCCAAAATGGGTATTTTAACATAAAATCCGTTCAAGCGCATCAATTCGGTGTCACGCACTGTCTGAATCGCACCCCCCTCTCTCTCTCTCTCTCTCTCTCAGTATGTGCACACTTCGGGTGTGTGCGGCAGCGGCTGTGTGCACAGAAAACAATGTGCAAGTCCCAAATTCGAGTTCTTTCATTTGAGTGGTTTAAAATTGCTTGAATGTGTAAATTGGCAAGACAAAACACGTTCAAATGATAAACTTTAACTCTATGATGGTTAAACACTTGATTTAATTCGCAAATCACATGCATGCCGAACCGTGGAGCCTGATCCATACAGATCAAGGATCATCTACGATCCGTTGCACCCCTAGTGATTTCTAAACCACTTGCAGCACTGAGTTATAGCAGGTCTTGGCAAGTTCATCTATAAAGAATCCCAACAGCTCTCTTAAAATCCTCCCCTTTGTTACACATCATTTTGAGGGTTTAACACAATGTCACCAGTACATTAGTAGTATTCACAGCTATGTATTACTGATGTGAATTGTGTTTTCGATTAGTGCCTGCCAAAACAGCAGCAAAATTTTAGACATTATTAGCCATTAAAAAATTAACCAAAAAAAAAGGAGGTCATGAATGCATATCTTCCTGAATGAAGTACACTACCGATCAAAGGTTTGGGGCTGCTAAGATTTTTGAGTATGTTTTGGAAAGAAGTCTGTTATGCTCACCAAGGCTGCATTTATTTGGGCAAACTTACAGTAGATACTGTAATATTGTGAAATATTTCCAAAGAACTGATTTGATTTGAATATATTTTAAAATGTAATTTCTTCCTGTCATGGTAAAGCTGAATTTTCAGCATCATTACTCCAATCTTCAATGTCACATGATCCTTCAGAAATCATTCTAATATGCCAATTTGCTGCATAAATAGCGTTTCTTATCATTAATGTTGAAAACAGCTGTTTCTTAATATTTGTTTTCAGGATTTTTTTATAGAAAGTTCAAGAAAAGCATTTATTTGAATTAGAACTCTTCATTATAAATGTCTTTACTGTCACCTTTGATCAGTTTAATGCATCCTTGCTGAATAGAAATAGTAGTCTTAATAGTAATCAAAAAATCTTAATCTACCCAAATTTTTAGTGTGCCCATGTTACGCTCTTGTTCTGAAATTCCAGAAAGTGTTTCTGAGCAACGGTCACTGGTGATTAGGTGTGTTCTGAGAGTGTGAGGAACGTGATCGAAAGCAGCTTGACTCATTTGAAAATGCTCACATTTTGATGTGATTAGTCACATTCCTCCTCCACAAGTCACTAATCTAATCCTGAGATCTGTTGACCTCTTTGTAAGTCTCTATTCTTGTTTCTTCTGAAAAATACAGCCCTCCCGTCTGGGAACACGCACACTAGGTACGTTTACATGGACACTTTTTGTTTCCATCGGAATTAATTCATTCTGATTGACGAATCCGAACCTAGTGTTTACATGAACGCTAAATAAAGTGATCGGGTTGATATGTGTGTTTATATGTCACAAGCTTCTGATCGGATTTACTCTTTTGACATGCGTGCACTGCATGAATATACAGAGTTTCCCGCTGTTGTCGCATACTGTTTTAAAAAGCACACGTGATATTTATCTACTTCGGGTCCTAATTAGGCGATGACCAGCACATGATCTGTTGTTCTGTGCTGCTTACTTTATAAAGCAGTAAAAGTGCCCCTTCCTGCACCCAAAACCAGTCGTCTGTTGATGAGAGTCTTAAACAAGGACTAGTTGTACTGCTCCACTTCACAGAGGCTGAGTGAAAGGGGAGTTTTATAATGACGGGACACTCATTTATGGTCACTTTATTCACCAGGAAGAACAGCTCGTTCCGCGCGTCATACGTCATTATGCTATTTTTTACGTCACTGTACCTGCGCAGTACTTTCCAGTTTTGGTTTTCAATCCGATCAAGTGTGTTTACATGTCCTCTCGCTCGGATTACAAAAGGAATAAACCACCCCTTACAATCCGAACGAAATCTGAATCGGATCTGGCCAATTCAATCCGATTGACGTGGTTACATGTGACTTTTTTATTCTGATTGTGCTTCTAGTCCTATTACGATCGGATTAGCTGGGTCCATGTAAACGCAGCTACTGTAAGATTTGTGCCTTCTAGACGATTTAATTCAGAATGTAATCAAAAACACTTTGATTCTGCTGTGGTGTTATGAGGATTAGAGGTGTAAAAATTGCTCGGACTTCATTGTTCTTGAAATGAAGTGATTCTGAAATTTGGTCAGTTCGATTCAATTATATATTTTTTTTGTACAATTTATGGTATTAACTCTTTAATATATGTATATTGCCTAAAACAGCAGACTAGGTTTTTATATTTACAGTTCATGAATTTTAAAAGCAATGCATTTGGTAGTATTACAGTAATGATCAACTATTAAAATCCATAATCAGTATATAAGCACCAGTGCATTTTTACACCCAAAATGTTTGAAAGGTTGATTGTAGGGTTTGCCAAAGAACCCCTATTCTACATGTTGCCGATTAACAAATAGATTATAAATTAGGTACTCCTGTACTTTTTAATCATCCTTCTTTCTTTATACTGTAGTAGTATTTGTTAGTGCAGACTTCATGCACGTAAATTGTAGGTTCAGACAAGAAAAGCACCTAACATACTGTATATGATTGTAATTCTTCTTTTGTCTGGGTGGAAATATTAGTGAATGCTGAATGAGTCATTAACAGAGCATAATGCTCATTGGCTGATTCTGTCATTGACATTTGCTTTTCAGTAGAGGTAGGGTATCCGGTAATTTCCACCGTGTGTTTTGAGTCGATTAAGTGTGTTTGTCAGTCTTGTTTTGTTCTTTTCTGTTACTGTTTTGGGTGTGTTATATAGTTTCATCTTTAACAAACCCACAAGTGTACGCTCTGTCTTCTGGGGTAGTCCCTCACCAATTTCCCTTCTAGAGAGCTTCTCTCACTTTCTCTCTACTTTCAAATTTTAAACTCTTTCACCACGGTCTTAAAATTATATTAACCAAGGCTACTATTTAATGGTTTGGGTTAAAAAGTACTATTTTTGTCTTCTCCGTCCACATGTTTGTTTGATTTGTAGTGAATATCCTTGACGCTTTAAGGATATTCACTTTAAAATAATCTGTTATGTCAAAAAGAGAACCATAACCACCCCAAAAAAAAAATCACTTTGCCACTGGCTGCCACTTTTCTTGCATTTTGAATAATTTAGAACACTAACTTACTGTCAAGGCTATTCCCATCACATGGTCTAATGTCCCCTACTTTCCTTGCGTCTTCTCCTGTAGCTTCTGCTTAATCTTTCCTTTTCTCTATCCTCCCTCTTTTAGAAAGTACTATCAAATAATCTCTCCCTTTCCTCTGTCCCATCTTTTTCCTCCTCCTTTTACATTCCCTTTCTTCCTTCTTGACCCTTACATCCAATGCCAACAGTCCCTCATGTGCTACTCAGCCACCTGAACAGCGAATCAGGTATCAGGAGATCAACCAGCACCTTTAGCTGAGCCTAAGCTCGTCATCTCAACCTCCCGTGCTTCCTGTCCTCACTGTCTGTCCCTCCCGTCCCAATCATATGCATACCAATGTCTTTTTGTCTGCATCACGGTGTGTAAAGCATGGTAAATGGACATATGTTGCCAATGTTTGTATATGATTATAAGCAGTCTGAGAGAATGTGTTTGTGCACACTGTCCACTACCAACAGATGTTTTATTATATTCTTTTTATGACTCGCATAGAAACATAACTTTACTTTGCATGCCACATTCTGCATTGTCTGAAGTTGACTATTCATTTTGCTGCAATGGTAAAAATGAATTTGAGCTTGATCCTCACCAGAGGATTATCTTTCCTTCATGGGAGAATAATGACTGCAGTGTCCAAGCAGGGTGGTTGTGTCACCTGAGGATTCAGAGATTTATTGATGGAGTGCTGCAGGAATAAGTGCTAAAACCCGGAAACGAGTTAGCATTATCGTTGTCCCAATGTCAATGGGTCTTTTGAATGGGTTTTTGATTAAATGCCTGAAAAGAGGTCTGTGGTTAACGCAAGCTCGATATATTTTCATATATTACAATATCTACAATACACCACTCATGATTTTTTTAAAGCTTTTACATGTCTTAAAAGGTGGTGATTAAATGGGACTACAGAGGTTGTTATTGCGTGGTCAACTCATCAACGAACTAGTCCGCATTTACAGCCTGGTTGTTTAGAATAGCTCTTGCAAACGATTACAAATCAAATTTTAAAGATTGAAACAGTTTAGTGGTGGTGACGTTGAAGTCATGCAAGTTTGCTAATATAGACCAACTTTAGCTTTACTTCTGCAAATTGTATTTATGGTGTTCATGTTTGTGAAGAATATCTTGATGAACAAAATGTGTAAGAATCATGAACATTTGTTAGTCACTGGCTTTTGGATTATTGCAGAAAATAAGCTGTAAGGAAAAATCCTATTGGATTTGTCAAGGGAACCAGGGTGATGCTACTTCCGCGTTGGCCTACAAAAATGCACCATCCCTGCAGCACTGTTTAGGCCCGAGTATTAAGAGAAGACTTCGCTCTTAAGTATACTTCATTTTTGTACGCCTATGCTAGCATAGTATACTATATTTTATGTTGTGTGCAAAGGTGGGCGGTCGTCAAATGCACTCTTGAAAGCTTCATCCATGCCCAGTGTCTGCTCTATTTTTTCCTGTAAATTATGACCGATACCAAATATTTTTGAACTCTTTTAAACCAAAGCTGAGCTCTCTTGAGTGATTGTCAATGTGAGTGCCTGTTGTTGTTGCAAAAAGCAGGTGGTGCGTGTACTATTTTAATGACACAATTTGTGTCACATGCACTGTACGCTGTCCCTCACGTACGCGTAAAAAGCGAAGTATACTTTGGGCTTTAGGGTAACTATGGCTGAATCCCAATTTTCATACTATTCATCCTGTATAATACACAAATAATATACAAGACGGTTACAAATTGCAGTGCAAAATTAGTGATAGTAGTGTTTCAAAGGGGGCTTTCACACTAGCATTTTGTGTGCACCCGGGTTCATTTGACTTTAGAGTTTGGTTTAGTTGGGATAATGAACCCACGAACCATACCCGAGTTCACCTAAAAAGTACTAAAGTATGCAATCATATTAAATCACTGAAGTGAACCACTATTAATGACATGTATTGGTGTATTTATTTGTTTACTCATTTGCTTTCCTGACAAGTGACTGATGTGCTGCAAGCAAAGATAATTTATTTCTCATTTCAGCTTGCTGGAATTGACTCCCACATTCTTTTGAAACTTTGCATTACAGTCGTAACAAATAGATGCATGTGCCATTTTGTGTTGCCGCTTTGTAGACTAATACCTGACAACAGGGTAAACAGCTGCCACTCTAATGATGCAATTGTATCATGGTTTGGAACCAAAAACTACTGTGTCAACACCAATCCAGAGATCGGGTCAATCGATCTCTGGATCGGACCAAGAATTGAACCAAGTGAAAGCACCCAAATAGTGTTACTTGTGGGCTTTTGAGATATTTCTGTAATGTGTGAATAAAAAAAACTAACATACAACAAGACTAGTTTAGTTTAGTTAATAAACAAAAATAACTTTAATGAGACAATACTTTTTAGTGAATCAAATAAATGCAGCATGAATAAAGTAAGCAAGTTAACACTTTCCCTGCCAGCATTTTGGGGGAAAAAATGTCATGGCCCCCAGAATATTTTGTTGTATAAATATCTGAACATGCAATGCATCAAAATCAAGAACAGACTACTTTTAAACAAAAATCAGTTTTATTTTTGCTTCAAGCCTACTTGAATGTAGGCAAGATATCAAAAAAAGCACCATTTTGAGCAAAAAGTTGAGAAAATTGCATTTTAATCAAATACTACATCTGGATCACATTCAGTACAATGATCAAAGCAAAGATGCAGTAGATGGCTTCCATCAGCACTCCTTTACCACTTCCTGGATTGACATTTCACTCGGTAACATTAGGAAATTTTGATTTATATGCTTTTTATTGTTGACGATCACATTATTTTTCATATGCATATGAGATTTTTTTTCTGTCTTCCTCGCCTGTGTTTTTGATCGGGACATTCTAGACTCATTCAGGAGATGCGTAATAGCGCAATAGTGTATAACAGTGAAAACACAGTAAATTCTGTGTTTGGCAGGGAAAGAGTTAATGGTTTGAATCGGTCTGAAACACAATATGAAACACATTCTCTCTCTGTGGCAGTATTTAATTAAATTGCCTTTTATGCATAAAACTCAGAATTGAATTTAATCTGTTTCGAAATCCATTTTGCAGCAAATCTCAGTCAATGGTGTGCATACGTTCAGAAGTATGTGAATTGGGATTCAGCTTACTATTCTCATTAACCATAAACCAAATTGTTATATCTCAGTCAGTCCAGCTTTAGTTGAGCAGTCAGCAGTGTGCAGATGTGCAGGAGTCACGTAGTTTGAGGAGACTCATTATTCTCCCTCTCTTGGATCTTCATATGTTTGGATCCGAATGCTAAGAGTGCAAAACTGGCTATCCTGTGAAGCATATGCCCCTCACTCAGGATCGTCTCAACAGTCATGCCTCAGGCAAAACAGCAGCAGCAGCATTAGTGCATACATGTTTTCACCTCCATTCGATTTCTCTCTTCTCTCTCTCAGTGCCCACTGCCAGTATGACCCGATTGGCTCGATCTCGCACTCACTCTGCCTCCAGCATGGGCTCGGCAGACGGCTCACGCAGCCGCGCACATACCAGTTCACAGATGGAGGGCGCCACCGGCGGCCCGGTCCACGACAACCAGAACAGACCACAAACCATGGAGGTGTCCTGCTAAAGCACCCAGAACCAAGCCACCATTTAACCTGGGATCATCTGCTTGTTTGAACCTCTGCACCTCAGGCGGTTTTGTCCACTTTGGGGTTTTGTTTCCACTCCGTCTTTGTCTTTCATTCTTTTTGTTCTCTTGTGGCCAAGGAGCGCTGGTCTAATGAAGGGATACATTGTTTGATGTCTAGTAAACCATGTATTTTACATATTGGAATATTTTTCCACTGCATGCAAGCATACTAATCTTTTGCTGATGTTTTTACCTTGAATTTAATGGAGTATTACTCCATTCTTTTATATTTGTCATCCATTGGAGATTAATTTCCACTCTCGATATGCTTCTTGTGTATATAGTTTGCATATATTTTGAACATTTGGAGGATATTCTCGTCTGTAGTGGGAGAGTTTTCGTTCCCTCTCTTGCTCTCTCTAAGGTCTTCCTGTCCCTTGTGTTTACTACAGAGATGACCAAACTACTTAATTTCCTCATTTACATTTTTCTTCAGTACTTAATTTTCTAGACTGCATTCTGTCTCTTTTAGAGGGTTTCTACTGCTCTCACTGTATGTCATTGGCTATTATGGTTTGATTTTAATTGACAGACTACAAATGGCAGACATTCTAGAATAAAATCTACTGATTAGCATGTCCCTATTTAAAGTGTACAATAGACATGCATTAGTGTTAATTATGTTAAGATCTTTCTGCAAATGGTTAATTCAGTTTGATTGAATTGAATCAATCTGATTCTGTTTACATGGAGAGTTTTAGACCAGAAACCCCTAATAGCAGAGACTTTGCTTAGATTTGCACTTAAGTTCATGTAAATTATTTTTCACAGCCTGTGCTTGGGAGATCAGCTACACAAAATCAAGCCAGTAACTGAAGATAAGATCTGTAGCTTGTTCAAATAACAGTTGTATTTACCATATAGGGCATCTAGAGGTATGAAACAGCATGATTCCTCTAAATGCACTGTACAGTAGTAACTGATAAATGATCTGTATGCTTTTGGCTTAAGATTCTCAATTTCTTCTGTACAGCAGGCTGATGTTCCAATAACCTCTTATTATTTTGACAACTCTGTTAGTTTCTGTAGTTTTATTGTTCTTGGTCTATTATTTCAATGGATGGCAATTCTCTGTTGATCGCTAACTGTACCGCTTCCTTGAGTGAGTTTGTGATGATGCGTTGTGCTTTGTCCTCCAAGCATTTAGGGGGCGCTGTACTTCATACTGTCTGCAGAGTATATTGATTTGTATGAATATTGAAATAAAGTAGTTGTACATAAAACTTGTATCTTGTCTTTATTTGGCAAGTTGATATTAAGACAAGACAATTCATGAGTAGTGTACTTTTTGTATAATAAGATTTATGAAATGTTAAGTTTGTATATGCACATGATACATTCTATAGTTGTCTGCCATTTGTAGTCTTTCTAGAATAAAATCTACTGATTAGCATGTCCCTATTTAAAGTGTACAATAGACATTTATATTAGCATTAAAGGGTTAGTTCACCCAAAAATGAAAATGAGCCCATAAATTACTCACCCTCAAGTCATCCTAGGTGTATATGACTTTCTTCTTTCAGACGAATCCAGTCGGAGTTATATTAAAAATTGTCTTTGATCTTTCAAGCTGTTTAATGTAGGGCTGAATGATTAATTGCATTTGCGATAATATCGCGATATGAAAAAACGCGATTTTTCAATCACAGGGTCTGCGATTACACTCGGTCATGTGACACGCGAGAGTAAAGAGGTGTGTTTGACTTGAAGATAGATCTGTAAATGAGAAAAACTGTTTCCGTTGCAGTTTTGCGATATATATATATATATATTCCTTTTTCGAATTGCCTGAAAAACCACCTCATGCGAGCGTAAATTTTCTTTTGTTTGCAATATATGGAAGTTTTCGTGAAATTTATGTTTCCATTGGCCGTTTTTTCAATTCATAATTTCAATTTGCGCAATTTGAAGGGTAATGGAAACGCAGCTGAGAAAGAAAAAAAATAAATTTTTCAACTACATCATCTTTTGTGTTCTGTAGAAGAAAGTCATACTAGTTGTGAAATGACATGAGATTGAGAAAATGACAACGTGTTCATTTTTTTGTGCCTTTAAAGAGCTGGGAGAACGTAGAAAACAGTCAAAGAATACTAAATCATGTTTGGGGGCCAATAAACCTTAAGTCAATAAACCTTATAATTGTACCTCAGGGAAAAACAAAGTATAATGTGACCCAAATCGCTTCAAAGCACTTGTATTCACTGGTTTTCAGATGCTCAACATGCAATTCTGTGTACTACCCATCACAGTTTTTCTGTCACCTCAGCCAGCTGTGAAAGTTTCCGATCGCAAGCAAGTTTAAAGGTTCTATTGATTGCATGTGGTCAGAGATGACACATCTGAAAGCTATTTATAGAAACTATGGCATACACACTTTAAGTACTTTAACACATCATTGACCACAGTAGAAAGGATCAGTCGATAAGAGATTTGTGTCGTCTTTCCATCTGATGTGCAAAATCATTCAACTAGATCAACTCAACGTATATGTTTGTCATTTTCACTTTCCGTACAGATTAACTGATTTTCTTCTTATCTGAAATTGACACATGGTGAACTTGGGTAACCTGCTAGGTTGACAGCCTACTATGACTATAATTAACTCGGTCCATTTGTCATGCGAATTAGCACCGGAGTGACATTTGCATTTGAATGTTTTTATTAGCCTATCAGTTGAACACACTAGATGCTGTGTTGCTGCATTGTTCATTCAAAATATTGCAGAAAAAGAGAACATCAATGCGAAGATGATCTTGTTTACATCAAAACTGAAACCAAGCCGTTCTCACAGAATGCATATTTTGCACATTTTCCAGAGGGACATCTATCACTCACCATGCAAAATTCATGCAAGTTCAACCTTTCAAAAAAATGTCTCGAGACTGGCGGTTTTAAATAAAAAAAATACTCCGTGTTATTGGCTTTGGCCCTTTGTATTAAACTATGCATACATAGGTGATATTTTTATTTGTAATTGTTTTAGCAATATTTTGTTTATAAACATTAATTATGCACTCTTTTCACACACAGTCATGTTATTTTATTGCTTTGAATAAACGTGCATTAGTAATATTTTGCTCAATGCACCCTCTTGTGGCCTCAGGAGAAAAGCCAAAAGCTTTTTCCCCCTAAACTGAAATTAAAGGGATAGTTCACCCAAAAATGAAAATGTGATGTTTATCTGCTTACTTACTTACGAAATATCCCTTTAAGGCTTTTAAATTTGAATATAATTCGAATATTGATAATATTTAAGTACAAAATTCTAATTTAGTTTTTAGCCATTTTGACAGCCCTAGTGCGCAGGTGTGTAGTGTTTCTTTACAGTGACATCGCCATCTAGTGGCCAGGCATGCATGAAAATTGGCACATGGTTCTTAGTCATTTTCACGGATCCATGTGAATGGGGATCGTTTTAACGGCATTGCCGTCTGTACGCAAAACTTTTCAAAAACTAAAAGAAAGCTTAAGGAGACATGCAAAACGTGCAGTGTTGGGGTGCCTCCAGGACCAGGGTTGGGAACCACTGGTGTAAGCGTACCTTAAATGCCTTTCATGCAAAATTCTGTGAAACAGTGCAAACGGTGCATCTCTATCTATTTTTTTTTTTCTGCAGCTAGAGTTTAAAATGTTAATGAGCTGTCATTATTTGCAGCAAGACTTGTTTTGCAGCTATACCAGGATCTGATCTGATGATTTAGTTTCCATGGCACTTATTGCTATGGCAATTGATTTTGGTGCATTTGGGAATATGTGAAATTAAAACTAGCACTAGACAATTTCTGAACCTTTCTGAAACCTTTCTGAAATTTCTGAAGCTGCTTCCGTTGGCGTCTGTATTACTGCATCAGTGAGCCCATGACATCATGACATCTCCACTAACATCTGTTATGTGTTCGTACAGTTTGAGCTTTCAAAACATCTTCTCCAGTCTGTTCTCTCTGTCAGGCATCTGTGCGTCAGCAAGGGAGTGACAGTTAGACCTGTTCGTCACAGGAAACTACAAGTATCTAGTAAATAAAGCTGCCTGCCTCAGTGTGCAATGCTAAAACACTGACACGACCACAGCAGCATCCCGCAGACACATCACCTGAAACTGAGCTCAACTTCTCAGCTCCTCAAGAAAACAAGCCTCTGATCTTTACAGAAATCACTCCAAATAGTTTTCTAACTTGGCTATCTGAGTTTTCAGGCTGTTGCACGTTCATAAGCAGATGTGCAGTTAAGGATTGTGCTCACGAATAAGGATTGTCATCATTGCTAGCCTGAGGACCATGAGGTGAGTAAGAGACTTTGTCCAAATTTCTCTCTATAAGGTCTTTTTGCAGAGTGATGTGAGCTTTTATACATTTCGGGGGGTTATCGAAAGCACCTTGCACAATATTATAATACAAACACGCATATGTAGCACATGTAATCAGTTACGCATGTGTTATTTTGGTGCCTGGGGTATGAGGTCTGTAATTTGGACCTGGAGACCTTGATAACCTAGTGAGACCCATCTGTGTTACCAGGTGACCATCTGCTCCATAATGTCATATAGCTGTGGGACCAGTGCCACTGCATTACAGTATGATATGGAAAAATGCCCCTCGCTAATGACTATCACTAATGAATGCTAATAGAACATTAGGCTTAACGACAATGTTGAAATCATAGCGCTGGTGACATCATGTGTGTTTACTGAACTTATTAATAGCAGCAATTAAATTACAGGGTTATTACAATGTAATACATGGTTATTACAATGTAATAACATGCAATAAGATTATAGATGTAGAAATACTAGAAAAGGTAGATGTATGTCTTGATGGTATTTTAGCATGAAAAAACCATTATGCATAAATGTTCTTGGAAAATATGTAGTTTGTTTTGATCAGACTATCAAGTTCATCAAACCACCTGATTTCCTTTAAATGATTTACAGTGATAATTTTTCATATCGACCCTGTGGGAAGGCAATGGAAGATTGCTGAACCTCAGCACTTTACAGTCGCTTCATAAGTCATATGAGAATATGAGTCACATTATATAATGGTTTCACCTAAGCTAGTAATATTTGACCTGTTATTTGCATACTGAATAATTTTAATCTATTGATTTTGCTGTATATGCTTATTATTCAGGTGGTGCAGGTGGCAGTTTGTGGGTCTCAGCAAACAGAAAGCAGAGGAACTGCTGATGCTCCCCCATAATCACGCCGGATCCTTCCTTATAAGAGAGAGCGAGACCTACCCAGGTACCTGTGAGCTACATTACTAGCATTATTGTTTTTCTACAATTTGCTAAGCCACTTACCACTATCACAGCTATCTGCAACAAACGATTATTATGATAATTGATTAATCTAATGATCATTAGAACCATTAATCGACTAATCGTTGATTTTGGTAACACTTAAGTATAGGGAACAATTCTCAATGTTAAAGGGTTAGTTCACCCAAAAATGAAAATCAGCCCATAAATTACTCACCCTCAAGTCATCCTACGTGTATATGACTTTCTTCTTTCAGACGAATCCAGTCGGAGTTATATAAAAAATTGTCTTTGGTCTTTCAAGCTGTTTAATGCCACTCAGCGTGTGTTGCATGATTCAGTCCGAAAGAAGCTAAATAAAAAGCGCCCATCCATAAAAAAAGTGTCTCACACGGCGCCGAGGGGTGAACAAAGGCCTCCTGTAGCGAATCGATGCATTTTTGTAAGAAAAATATCCATATTCAAACTGTAATAATCACTTGAATCTAGCTTGCGCTCACTGTTGTAAATGGAAGCATTTCCGGACGGATGACGTATGAGGTCAGCGTTAAAAAGAAAGCGCAAAACACATATTTACATGTTCATCTAAACGTTCTCAGTAGTGCCAGGATGTTTGCTAACAGTAAACCACTGCCAGCTTATATCAAACTGCTTTTTACCTGACTGAAAAGTGAAAAATACTTTGTGATTGCAAGGCCTTTAGACATGACAGCATTTTTTGTTCGGCTACTGGTTTAGCTTCGTTTACACGTCTCATAAGTGCAGTGTCTTCTTCTATTGGATTGCATGCAGGAGGGCTACAGCGCCACACTTGTCAAACCACATTATTGCAGGCGCTTAAAATACATCATATGAGATCAAATGACTATTTAACAACAAAAATATTTGTCGAAATTTTTTTTATTATCAGCGTTATTAATATCGACTAATCGTTTCAGCCCTACTTGACAACTGCAAGCAATGTTCTAGCAATCACATAGCAGCATTTCAAAAACCTAAATAGCTGCATGGCAACACCCAGGAAACTACCCAGAACTACAGAAGATGTCATATCCAGTTTGTATTAATGTATATGTGTTTTTTTTAACTCAGGTAGCCACACTCTGTCAGTGCGTAGGAGCAGCTCGCATGAACGCGCTTCTGTCAAACACTACCGTATCAGCTGCATCGAGAACGGCTGGGTCTACATCTCTCCTGGACTCACCTTCAGGACCCTCTCCGACCTGGTTGCACACTATTCAGGTAACCCTAACCCTAACCCACTATTCAGGTACACACACACACACTCACTCACAGATGCAGCCAGTAACTCATTACTGGCACCCAGTGATTGCATGTGATGTTGCTGGGTTTGTGCTTGATACTAATAACATACATGATACTGACTAATAGTTTTGAGGAAATGTTTAAATCATGTACTCACACGAGAGGTGGACTCCAGTCAGCCCAGTGCCTATAAAAAACAGTTTTATTCTAGATCATTTTCAGTGGTGGAATAAATTGTGGGGAACAAAAAAAAAAATAGCTGTGAATAGGGTAATTCTACAGCTAACAAACTTTATGCTCTATCCAGTGTCAGCAGTCAAAGACCACTGGTGTATCATCAGAAACCAAACAAAAAAAAAAGCTGATTATGTAGTGCACTGTTACATAAATAGTACTGGCAACCACCCAAAACTCATTAGCTACCACACAGCAACATGCTAAAATAAACACATTTTGGCTGAACGTGCAGAAATGTGTTGTGGGCGGAGTTTAAATGTGAACTGTCCCTCAGAAGTATCGGACGGGCTGTGCTGTACTCTGGGGGAGCCATGCTACATCATTGGATCCAACAACGTTCCTGTGGTAACCGGCCCGCCTCCGGTTGCCGTGAAGAGGCCTACTATAAACTGGAAAGATGTGGACAGGTGCGTCAAATGCATCCAGTCACAAAATGAAGTGACTGTCAACAGATCACCCAAAATAAAAATTCGCTCATCATGTTCCAAAACTGTACGAGTTTTTTTCCCATCTGTTTAACACAAAGATACTTTGAAGAATGTTGGTAACCAAACAGTTGCTGGTAGCCATTGGCCTCGGTTATATTTTGTTCCATACTATGGAAATCATTGGCTACCATCAAACGTTTAGTTACATTCTTCAAAATATCGTTTGTGTTCGACAGAAGAAAGAAATTCATACAGGTTTGGAACAACTTGAGGGTGAGAACATAATGACAGATTTGACATTTTTGGTGAACTCTCTCTTTAATGACACACTAGTAATATCGTCTTTTCAAAAACTAGTAGAGCAGTTTCTAAACGAGTTTTCTTCGCAGCTCCATGATCTTCGGGCAGAGAAAAGATGGTGCAGAGGACTCCATAGTGAGCGAAGGCCTGAAGGAGGCCATTAACTCGTACCTCTACATGACGGAGGAATGTGAGGACTGCTCTCAGCTCTGGGACACATGATTGGAAGACTGACATGAAACTTGAATGACCTTGGACTCTTGATGCCGTGATATGGGACAAAACACTTTACAGAAACCTAGAAACTCATTTTTCGTGACCCAGACGCGGGAAATTAACCAAAAATGCATCTTAGCGTCTTTTTTCATTCGTGAATTTCTGCGTAAAAATTGTTCAAGAGCGAATGCGGCGTCGGATGAAGTTCGCGGAGACACGCACTGACTCATTGCTGTTCTTGCAGAGTGGGTGCTGGAGACAAAGATGTCAGTTTCCTGTGTGGACGCGCTCCTGGTGGACATGAAAGAGAAAACAACTGAAGGAAAGAACGATGGAGGGGTGGGTGAGTGGGAGGGGGAACACAGCTGGGTGGCGTACTCATCCATTTCCACTCCACTCACACTTTCTGGAACTTTATCAGTGTCGTGCTTATTACAAATGTGATCACAATCAGAGAATGAAAGAAGAAGCTTCTTATTAATGGTACCAGAGTTTGATGTCATTTTTTGTTGAAAATGCCCAACAAAATACGTATTTATGACTTAGAACATAAATGTTGTGTAACTCTGTAAATACATACAGTTGCTTAAAGAGATAATAAAGACCTGAAATGAAAACTGTCATTCCAAACCTGTTCGAGTTTCTTCTGTGGAACACACAAGATCTTGTGAAGAAAGTTGATTACCAAACAGCTTCAGTTCCCATTGACTTTAATTGTATGGTTAAAAAATATAATGGAAGTCAATGGAATCACAATAGTTTGGTTATCAACATTCTTTAAAAGCTCTTCTTTTGTGTTCAAAGTCATACAGGTATGGAGCAACATTAAGGTGAGAAAAATCACAATTATTATTTTTGGGTTAACTGTCGCTTGTGACTTATGGACATCAGTTATGGTCTTTTAAATAAACTCAAGAGAAAAAAAAACAAGGTCATTAATGTATTTGTAGAAGCTGACAAAAGCATCTTGATTGAGGCATTTCCTGTCTTTGCACCTATTGTTTAGAAGAGAACCGCAGTCTTCAGCAGCAGGAAGCGAAGGGTTGCATGTGGTCTGCTCTCAGTGTGCAGACGGAATAGTTCTACCTGTTATGTTCTTAAGCAACCTTACTGTAGTACTACCAAGTCTTGAAAATAAATGACTTTAGATATTAAAAACGAGAAGTAGTTCAAGGATTTCTACCCGTTACATCAAACCACAGTTTCTCCTCCACGCAACTTTGAACTAAAGATTTCCATTTTATATAATCTTGCCAGGCTGCATGTTTCTCTACACATGGTGAAGTGAATGACTGGGAGAGTCATTTGTTTGATGATAAAGGTAGAGCTGTTACTTTGCAGTGCCATCCAGAGGCTGTGGTATGTACTGCAGGAAATGAGTATAGAATATACTATACAGTGGCAATGAAAGTCTTTAGACCCGAATGTCATTAAGATAAATTATTAAAGAAATGTTTCAAAGAAAGTTGGCACAAGCACACTTTAAGGTCTCAAAAAGTGTTTTAGGTTTCTGTTATAAAAACTGTTTAATGAAAGCATGAAATCAACAGATCCGCGGAACACCCTTTCGTGCGTCATGACTCAAATATCACAAATACAGCTCTTATGGGTCTATAAAAGAAGGCATGCTTCAACAGGAAAACATAGGCTACTGTCAGTAAAAGGGCCAACATGTTAAAAATACTTTTAATTTGAAGTTTAGCTTACCTGTCGAGAAGAAACGCCACAAGTTTATCGCATCAATTGAACCGAAAACATTGTCGAATTCCACCATTTTGCAAAAACACAGACATCGGGGTAAAACAAGGTTAAACACTGGCAGTCTATTTTGTCAAGTCTTTGCATTTTGGCTTTAGCTTCTGTAACCAAATCTTTTTCTTTTTCCACACCGGCTAAACGCAATCTGGCTTAGCTAGCTACATTAGCCACACCCCAGACGCTCGCGATTGGCTGCACCGAGGTCGAAACCTGCCAAGATGTGAAGAGAATTTCTACCAGTATAACAAAAAATATTTCTGGAAACAAAATGCCTTCGCTACCTTTAATTTCACAGACAGAAAAAAACCCTAAACATCTAAGCTTCAAGTAAAAACGAAAGGCTTTAATGAAAGACGAGAGAAAAATGTTTTTAAAATCTAATTTTAACGACGGATCAAACACCACAAATGAATGTGTGTACAAGCACAATTCTGTACTGAAACAGTCATGACAAATAATTCGGTCTGCAAAAAATATCAACGTTACTGAGAACGCTTTTAAAAAGGAAAACACAAATAGGCGAAGGTCAGTCATCAGTTGAAGACTTCTATCTCTTGGGCCAGTTGTGACGAAACCCTCTGCAAACAGAAGTAAACCCATCATACAAACCCAAAATGTTTTTAAAATCTAATTTTAACGACGGATCAAACACCACAAATGAATGTGTGTACAAGCACAATTCTGTACTGAAACAGTCATGACAAATAATTCGGTCTGCAAAAAATATCAACGTTACTCAGAACGCTTTTAAAAAGGAAAACACAAATAGGCGAAGGTCAGTCATCAGTTGAAGACTTCTATCTCTTGGGCCAGTTGTGACGAAACCCTCTGCAAACAGAAGTAAACCCATCATACAAATAGTTTAGTTTTTTTTAATCCAACGATTCATTTCTTGAGTCTAGCTGTGTGTGTGTTACCGGTCAGATTTGGCAGGGACATAAGACATGCTCCTGCCTCCCACAGCGTTTTTCTTCTGTCCTTTTTTCTGAGAATCAAAGTTGGCAAAAAATCAGAGATCTTGCACAGCGAAATCAATCCAAGCTGAGATTTGTGTGACAGTGAACGCTTGTAGACTGAAAACAGGTTAATACCTTCTGCTTGGGTCCATGTGCTTGTCTGTTTGGATCAAACTGTGAACTCTCTTTTGATTTGCCTGTGTGGATAAAATACAAGCAATGAAGACGATGCACTGAACCAAAAGGAAAAATACATATGAAAAATGAAGGCAGATGTCTTACCATCAAATATTTTCAAATTTGACTGGCTGTAGTCAAAAGGTTTAAAGTCTTGTTCGGGAACTTCAGGCTCTTGAACTTTTTTCGGTTTCTTTTTTTTCTGAGCAGGTTTTGTCGACTGATCAGCCTCACTTTCAGTCTTTGAGACTTTTATTTTTGGTTTAAGACTCTCTTCACCAGCATCACTGGCGGCTCTCTCTCTTTTCTGTCCAGCCTGCTTTGCTTCCTAAGAACACAAGATCAACAAAGCCTGTTAGTGTAAAACGAAGAAAAGCAAATACAGCTTGTAAAGATGGTGAGCTGAAGCTTTCTCACCGCTACTTGCTGCCGGACGGTGTGAACGTTTTGCAGCGACTCCTGGTAGCTCAGTTTGGCTTTCTTTCGCTCCTCTGAAAGACAAACACAGACATTTATGCACAAATAAATCATCTCAAAGTTAGTGTATTAAAACATCGGACTACGCAGGGTTTCTATAAAGCTGCGGTGTTGTTTGTACCTTGAGCTTTCTTGGCCTGTTCTTTAGCTTGCCGTTTCTCCTGCGCCTCCTTCTGCTGCTGCTCAACACTCTGTAATTTCCACCGGTTATGAATCTGTTTTAAACAGAACACAATTTTCCGCCCTTAACACCCCATATTTATATGATTTTCTGCACATTTGTCTACACCTGTTGTCAGTTGTATTGTCCATTGCAACATCTATCTGTCCGTCAAGATTAAACATGAAGAGTTTAAAACCATTAAAACTGGAGACATTGTTTTGCAATAAAAAGCAATATATATATATATATATATAAAGAGGAAAAAGAAACTATACCTCATAAATCTTTGAAGAGGGGTCATACTTGGCATTCTTGGAAATGTGAATTTCCTTCGATGGTAAATACTGAAAACGAGTTTTGAAATGTCAGTGAATAAGTACACAATGCAACTTGACAAAAGGCATGCACTAAACTGAAGTGCTGTACCATTCTGAAGGGGTTCTCAAAGGACCCCATGATGCTGTGAGCTTTTTGTTGTGCCACAGTCAGATGAGCGGGAGCTGCTGCTGCCTCCTCCTCAAATACAAATGACAAAAAAAACATCCTCAACTCACAAAACAAACTGATGAGTAAGACCATTAACAATTACAAACGTTTAAACATTTTACAAAATCAACTTCAAACTTCTGCTTAGACTTTACAACACATGCGGACCCTCTTGAACAAGCTAAATGAGAGACGCATAGACAGGTTTCTCTGAATTTCTTTCAAAATGTCCTACCGCGAAGAGGCTGATTTTTGCTGAAGCTATCACGCCGTGCAAGGACTTTTCCTCTTGGTTCACGCTTTCATCCTCCTCCTCTGAAAACAAAACTCCCGGTTTGGTTGGAGCTTCTAGACATATATGTGGAGAAAATGTCAATTGGTGGCTTTAAAATAACACCAAGGCAAATCATGAGGTCTTCATAATATCTAGACCTACCAAAAGAGGAGAGGTCCAGGAAATCACTTTCAGACGAGCGGGAGGTGTCGTGCGGTCCGAATAACGTCGTCTGTGGCTAGAAGACAACAGCAAGAGGGGCAATTAGAAATAAACACAATAATAGCTTCTTCTACCAGTTTGGATCCACCGAAAATGCTGAACATCTGTCAACACACCTTTCTTTTAGGGGTCATCGATTTCCTCTTTTCAGCAAGTACCTCTGCCTAAAAAGAGAGAACATTCAAATTCATAGACTTAGAATTTCATATTACAAATGAAGTGAAACAAGAAGCAGAGTCTATGAGCTAAATAGTGTTTGTCTGAGCGCACACCTTGAGTAAAGGGGTCTCTCGAGCCTGTTTGATAAGCTGATGAAGCTCATTGATCTGCTGGCGCACTAGTGGTGGAGTGGGGTTACAGCACGCGATGATGCCCTGAGGCTCCCTAGAGTGAACAACACGTACGTTTATACAGACTTCAAAAGAATAAAACATTTAAATAATAGAAAAAAAGGATTTCAAATGCAGTAGTCCACTTAAACTAAGCTGAAGTTTGAAATGGCTTGTTTAGAGATCACCAAGGTTATGATGCCAGACACCACGCATGTCTACATTTCAACATCTTTTCAGTACTTTGGCCCATTCTAATAAATGACTATTGTGGAGGTTAGCCAGTCATAACAGGTCATTCACTCACACACACACACACACACACACGTGTTAAAAATTTGGGGTTGGTAAGACTTTTTTGAAAGATGTCTCACACCAAGGAAAAGTTAAGAAAGTTGAAAATGCTCACAAAAAACAAAATTGCAAAGTTGCGAAAAAAGAAAAAACCCACACCCTCACAAGTGGGCAACTTTAAATGAAAATGTATAGATTCAATTTAGGATACACCCCTTAAACTTACTTTGGAAGCTCCTCGGCGATCTTCATCATCATGTGGTTTGGTAAGATATATCTGTGGAGAAACAACACATTCATGAATCACAACAACTACACAGGAACTAGTAATCTGTCCACAGACACATGCATAGAGTCGGTTTGGAGCATTACCCAGTGCTCTCATCTCCCTCTCGAGCCAGTTTATCTCTCCAGGCGTACAGCAGTCTGAAGGCCGCCAGCTGCTGTGTGTTGAAGCTCTTCTTCTGCTTGCGGTACAGCTCCATGTACGAGTCCTCCGTAAAAATAGGCTTCACATATTTCTAAAGAGAAAGACGAGATGATGTCAAAATATTCAGAACTTCATTTGAAACATTGAATCACTATATTGAGCTGGTTCCTTTAATT